TATCGGGGTTCAGGGATTACAGGGTTTAAAGGGCTATACCTCCATAGAATAAAGCCCAAACCCGAAACCTCAAACCCAAAAGCCATAAGCCTTCAGCCCTTCTCCACAGTCCTTCGATCCTTAGAGCTGTAAGGTTGGCCACTCAACGACTAGATCCGATAAGCCCCATGAGCTTCCTTCGAGGCTCCCTGTTAGAGAACCCCACGGTACCCTTAAAGGGAACCCTGTCATAGAACCCCAAACCCTAAACCCTAAAAGCCGTACCCTTAAAGGGGACCCTGTGGTACCCTTAAATGGGGACCCGGGTCTTGAACCCGACGGCACCCTTAAAGGGGAATCGATTAGGGCTTTCGGGGTCCCCCAGGCGGCGCACCCCTCAACCTGCAAGCCTCGCAACATCATGCATGTGAACTGCTTTCTGTAAGAGGGCCCTGCTTAAGGGTGCTATAGGGTTCTGGAGTAGGGTCTCCTCCAAGAAGTGTCCTTTCTCAAATGAACCAGCCCAGCATGCGCTCTGTTGAGCACAGCCTAGAAAGTACTCTCAAGGACCCTCAAGTGCAGATTGCTCCTGGAACTCGAAACCCTTCACTCCCAAAGGCCTTCTAAAGCCCTACAGGTAAGCCGCCACCAAACCAGCCCTAAACCCTAAACCCAAAAAAGAACGCCACAACCCCTCTTAGTAAGACTCCCCCTCGAGCCCTATAATCACTTCAAAAGCTCCCAAAACCCCAGCCCCTATTACCCTAAACCCTAAACCCTAAATAACCTTTCTTAAGCTCCCAAAAAGCCAGCAGACCCCAGAGGCCCGAAATGCCAAGGGAAACCCTAAACCCTAAATACCTTCAAATCCTAGGGTAGGGTTTAGGGTTTAGGGTTTAGGGTTTATGACCCTAAACCCTACAAACCCCAAGGGCACCTGGATGAGCGGAGAAGACGCTGAGGCTATCAGGGCTGACCACCAAACCTAGCCAGAGAGCGGTCTATGGGGGTTTAGGGGTTAGGGTTTAGGGTTTAGGGTTTAGGGTTTAGGGTTTAGGGTTTAGGGTTTAGGGTTTAGGGTTATAAGGTTTGAGGTTTTAGGGCTTTAGAGACAAAGCCTGAAGACGAAACCCCCAGCCCTTCCCTAAACCCGAAAGCCTGGCTGCTTTGACGGTTTAGGGTTTAGGGTTTAGGGTTTAGGGTTTAGGGTTTAGGGTTTAGGGTTTAGGGTTTAGGGTTTAGGGTAATTTGAGGCCATAATCTGAACGAAACTGCGTCCAATAATGACTGCTAGGCCGCTAGGCTTTATCGACCGCTTCGTTGGACTCTTTATCCGGATTGTGATTGTGAGTTCATAAACCCTAAACCCTAAACCCTAAACCCTAAACCCTAAACCCTAAACCCTAAACCCTAAACCCTAAAGGTGTTAGGGCCTTTAGTCTGGGGCTCGAAGGTGTGAGGCTCTGCCTTTGTCCCGTGAGCTGCGCTACGCCACGTGTGGGGCTTTGGGGCTCATTGTTTGGGGTTTAGGGTTTAGGGTTTAGGGTTTAGGGTTTAGGGTTTAGGGTTTAGGGTTTAGGGTTTAGGGCATTGTTTGCGGGAGTATGTAGGGTTCGATAGGTCCTCGTCGGTTATAAAGCTTATGGAGTCGAGGGTCTGACAGCTACGCAGGATGAAGGCAGTGGCTTCGGGGTCGAGCTCAGAGATCTTGAAGCAGGAAGTGGCCATGCAAACACGAACATGCAAGAAACGAAGAGAGTACAGTGACCACTGGCCAACACTGTCGCCACCATCATCAACATCCAAGCGATGTCGCTTTCACTTCCAAAACATACTCCTGGTGCACTGCTGGTGGTTGTTCGGGCTGCAAGGCTACAACGGTTGCTTGCAATGTGTGGCAAACTGTGGCTCCGGAAACAAACCCATTGAAGCCTACCCTAAACCCTAAACCCTAAACCCTAAACCCTAAACCCTAAACCCTAAACCAATCTCCAAAGGCATGAAGGCACCAGGGGAGGGACTGCCTTGACGGAGGCGGAGGATGCTGAGAAACACCAGACAGCGAAGATTCCAGTGCCATGGCCCAAGCATGGGAAAGCGAAGGCGAATTTGTGTGTAAAGGGGTGTTAAACTTGGTGAGTGGTGAAACCTGTTGTATACTCATGTTTGAAATGGCCCTTTCTGTTCTTCTGGCTGGCCACAAGCCCTAGACACTAAGGCTGGGTTATCGGGTCTGGGGTGTGGTCTTGATCTAACGAAAACATTGAAGTCGCGATGTTCTTATCGAAGGTTGAGTGACAAGACCCATCGCATGCAACCTTTACCAGATTTGTCTGCTACGGACGTGATACATCATGCGTCTTGTACATCACGCAAAGCAACCTGCACCCCCCAAAAAAACATACGTACATCTAGCCTAAACTGATGTCATAGCTACCTTTGGGCCTTATGTTGCCTATCATGGTATATACAGGCTTTGGGTTTAACTAGGGTTGAGGGTTCATGTGGCCCTATATGAATTCGGAATCCCCTGGAGCCAGGAATGCAGTTCGGAAGATCGCTGGATGCTAGGACTAGGGCATAGGGTTTAGGGTTTAGGGTTTAGGGGTTTAGGGTTTAGGGTCTAGAACTGTTCAACACATCAGCACCCTTGCAACAACGCTGTTGCAAACTCCGAACCGAAAAGGGAGTTTCCGAAAACAAGGGGCACCTTATTTTGGGGTCCTTATAATCGGGATCCTACTATTTAGGGTGCTATATTAAGGTCCCCTAATATTTTCGGAAACCCCCAAAAACCCTGAAGTAAAGCAAACATTCAAAATCACGTCACGTGTTGTATGTGAGCGATGGCTCAACCACAATGCTATTGCTGATTTGTGGCAGTGGGTCGTCAACCACGAAGCGGACACATTGTGCAATCGCCGTGCCACCACGCTGATTGACGCTGCCGCTGTTTTGCGAGACTGGGTTGACACTCGCGTGACTAAGATTGTTTTAACCACCATGTCGATGTTGTCATGGCCTTACAAAGTGATGACAGGTATGCTAAACGGCCGGACAATCCTGCAAAGTTCTGCGTGCCACTAAAAGACATGCTTGCGAGAAGCGCTTCAAGGTTACCCACGTGACGTTGAAGGCGCTCATGTCTGCGTTCGTGCGCAGAATGGGATTGAATGTCAAACATGCGCTGTGGAGATGTTCAGACACGACCCCTTCCGGAGGATGCAACTGCAAGTAGCTACGCCATGTTTGGCGAGGCATGTTGACTTGTTCAGGGAAGCTTGGGGGAATGCACACCAGTCATGTTCTGCAGTTGTCAGGTTGTTTTGGGAGATGTGTATTGCTTGCGGCATCCATGGACCCTGAAACAGGAAACGGCGCTTACAGACCATGTGCTGCAGTCAGAACGAGCATCCGCTAACGCGGACGGCTATGGAAGTCACGATTCTACTTGACAGCAGTCCATTGATGGGAACAAAAGATTCCAGGACCGAACGAAAAAACACTCCGTCCAAATGCTCAATCGTAAACCTCGCCGTGCCTGAACACGTGCTATTATTGGGGATAAACGCCTGTGGAGTAAGGAACTCATTTTCGAAGAAGCCGCAGCGTGGAGCTTCACCGCGAGGCTTGATCCGCACCGGAGCACTATTGCATGAACCTCGCTCGGCCCGAGATATGCAAAGCCAGCGAGAGGAAAAGAAACTGTGACTTCCATGTTTTGATACAACATGTTGAATGAAAACAATACAACAAAAACTGTTTCGGACGAGGAGTCTCAAACATGATCATGGAAATGATCGTCGAAGAACGACAAAGCATCCTTACGTGTGACAGATGTGTCCTACCATGACACCACTGTGCAACAAGCGCGCCTGAGCTTGCAAAGTTCATGTCTGGCAGGCTCAGGCCTGCCCGACAGGCGTAAAAACTTAAGCCGCATACTCTGCAAAGCCTACAACACCGGCTCCCATTCCTATAGCTTGAACTTCATTCCTGAAGCCCTACAGCCTCAAACCCTCACGCTTCCATCCCGAATGCCGCACTCTACACACAAGAACCTCAATCCGACGCCCTAGCAGTGCCAACCCGAAAGCCCAGGAACAGTACAAGCCGAATTGCTTTACTTAGCCACAAACCTTACAGCCTCCACTGCCGAAACTTTAGAGGCCAAGCCCTCAAGCTACAAATCAACGGTTTTGGTGTAGATTACAGTTGGCTTGCGGCTAAGAAGGGCTACCAGGCGATGCTAGTTTGAACTATCCCGGATCTCTGTTTTTAAGGAAAGCGGCCCAGGACTCACGTGGAAATCTTCGGCGGTCGCCCATCCGGCTTGCTGCGTCCGTGCGGTCGTACGAAGGACACCGATCGAACTCCGGGTCCATGAAGAACCACCCGCGGCCCATCTTCCAGGCGTCTGTCGAAGTAGTCCTGAAACCTAAACCTTAAACCCTAGAGTCCTAAGGGTTGAGGGTTTCAATGCGTTTTTGTCCGGTAGGCGGTCTGAAAGGGAGTCGACGCCACACGTGCATGAAGCAGGCACGGATCCCAGGTAACATAGGAACTTGATTAAGAAACCCTGGGTCTTTACTAGCGCTCTGAAGATGAATCCTAATATGTTTGGGTTGTAGGGCCAGCGTTTCTTAATCAGGCTCCTACATTATGTCGGACTGCGTGCAACTCCACGATAAAGGAGCTTGTCCCTCACAGGAACACACCGAAGATCAAGCAAACCTGAGAGGGTTTAGGGTTAAGGCTTTAAGGTTAAGGCTTCAAACTTCAATACGTCTGTCGTCATAACCCGCTTGCCGGTTCAAGATTTGGAGCAGGGTTCAAGGATCTTGGAATCGTCTCGAACACGAAATCCAAACAGGAACCGTCAATCCAAACCTCTGAACTGTGTGTGGAACGGCTTAAGGCTTACAGTTCCTGACCGTAGCACCATATTGAATTGGAAAAAAGGAGGCCCGACTAAATAAAAAAAACGCAAGAAAAGGATTACCAGGCATTTGCAGAGAGGCCCCGTCGCTGAAGCAGGCAGAAGTACTTGTGGTAGGTGCGGCACTTCCAAACCTGGTCATCGCGGGACGGTCGAGTTTCGGCGTTCGGGGTGTCGGGTTTAGGGTTTAGGGTTTAGGGTTTAGGGTTTAGGGTTTAGGGTTTAGGGTTTAGGGTTTAGGGTGTCGGGTCCGAATGTCTTCTTCCCAAAAAAAACAAACAGCACTCTCAAGGCCCGGAGCAGCAATGAACCTAACCTCCTGACAACCCCTTTACTCTTTCTGCAAGCCTCCACCCCAGAACCTCCGAATATATACTGGGTTGGCCTTTAAACCCCCTGAAAAATATTTATATACAGGGCCCCTTATAAAACCCAAATAGGGGAAAAAAAAAAGGAACCAAAAACCAACCTAGTATACTTCCTACAAGGCCCTAAACCCTAAACCCTAAACCCTAAACCCAAAACCACAAACCCCTAAATCTAAACCCTAAACCCCAAACCCTAAACCCTAAACAAGGAAGAACCTTCTTGTCCATGTCCGCCACTGCTTGCTGTAAGCGCGTCGCCAGCTTTTCCGGATCGATGGCTTCAGAGCTGCCATCCTTCTCCTTCGGTTTTTTGCGCGATTCAGTTGGGTTTAGGGTTTAGGGTTTAGGGCTTAGGGCTGCCATCCTTCTCCTTCGGTTTTGCCCGATTCAGTGGGGCTGAATCCAAGCTTTCCGGGTGTGTCCCATTTTTGCAACGCAAACCGAACGCATAATCTAGCAAAGGCTCCTTCTGTCGCGTCTTCTTGTTCTTCGACTTGCGAGACGGCGGCTCAAATTTCTGACTCCAGCGGTCCGAAATCTCGGACCATTCTGCCTTCAGCTTCAGCTCGCGCCACACTTGATCGAGGAGGTCCTGGCAGAGCAAATCTTCTGAAATCCACCGGGAAACCGTTTCGACTCGCCGCAGCTGCTTCATTGCATTCGCCACCAGGTCGCGTGCTCTTGTCAACACTTCGTCTTCGGTGTCGTCGAAATGCAGCATCTGCTCGAAGTCCCTTTCGCCCACATCCAGCAAGGACCTCGGGTCAATGCCATGTTGTGCCAGTGTGGCTGTCGCGAAGTCTTGTGCTGCAGATGAAGTGGCAAACGCGTCCCCAGTTTCCATCAATGCTTGCTGAAGCAGCCTGTCCTCGTCGCACAACGCCGGTGGAAAGGAGAATGGGAAAACCGCACTTCGCCCCAGATGCGTCACATCATCGGTCCGCAGCCCTAAACTGAGCTCGTCTGACACCTGCAGGATCTTTTCAACCATCTCAGCATCGTCCACCATGACGACGGTTGAAGACTGCGCGTATGGGTGCTCGGCATCCAGGGAACCCAGGTTTTTGCCAACGAAAGCTACAAGTTCCATGCGCTGCGCCTTCTGTACCGCTGCAGCTCTTCGTTGGTTGCGGACGGAGACCTTGTCACTAATATGTCTTACCTAGCTGTCCGGTAGCTCCAGAGCAACAAAAACTGCCAGGGGGTGCCTGAACCCTGACAAGGCCAGAGAAAAAACAAATGGAAGCCCCCACCTTCTGATCAGCTGCTGCCGGTAGTTTGGAGGACAGCCGCTTGATTGCAGGAAATGGCTATGGCACCGGGGCTCTCCACGGACACGGACAAGTGCACGCCTTGGCAGACGTCGATGGCACCTCCGGGCTGGACCTGGGAGCAAGGCCCTAGCTGACCTTACATTCATGGATAAGTTATCCTGGTCAAAACCCAGTATGACGTGAGATTGTATACATGGCAATCGAAACAGGAGCTACGCTGGGTGGGGGCCACTAGAAATCCTCGAAGCTTTGCACAATTTGCGGTTGTAGCCGGAGGGAAACACAGCACATGAGACTACGGCCCGAAATCAGAAGCAAACGGGAAACGTTGAAGTTCTAGCCCATTCAGGCAGTCCAAGGAACCCATGGGCAAATGATCCGACGGTCCTGGTAGAAAGTAGCATCAGGAACTGGATACGCCAAGAAGTCACATGGATAGAGAAACCGCTCTCGGGAAGTTTCGAAGCGGCGGTGCTCTGATACTGTTTCTGAGATGTACAGTTGGAAACAGCATCCACCTGACATGATCATTGCACGGTCACGATCAATGCGCGTGAGATATGCCTGATGAGGCCCCAAGATGTAAGCAATCAGCTTCTGCAGGGCCGCAAACTCACGAGCATTGATGATGTATCGCCGGCTGCTCAAATACCAGGCTCGGCTGGCACAGAACCGACTGCGCCCCATCAACCTGTCAGCAAGTATAAATACTGCCAGCGGGGCCTCGGCCGGCATCACCCCCTGCAGTGCTTTGCTGATGGCCCGTTTTAAGTCATCGGTGCTATGTAGAAAGTCAGTCCAGTACGGCGGGTCTACGTGCTCCTTGCCATTCTGCCAATGAGGCACCGCTGTCAGCGACGTCCGAGCCAGCAGAGTGCGAGAGCCTTCCCACTTGTCCAAAGCCGCACACAGGCTCTGCCATTCCTTCTGGCTTGGTGGGGAAGATCCCCTGCACTCGCTCACGGCCATTGAGGCCATGGCGCCATAACCATCAAACTAAGCATGCATGTTGTGCGGTATCAGCGAGGAGTTCCGCCCCATCCGAACATAAAAGCAAAGACCACAGATCAAACCCTGAACCGCAAACCAAGCAATACTTTACTGCCTGGTCTATGGAGGCCCGTGTTTAGGGTTTAGGGTTTAGGGTTTAGGGTTTAGGGTTTAGGACTGTTCAACCTGCCAAAGAAAAGCTCATGGCTCACCAGAGCTATGAACACGTGGAGGCTCAGGGCCTGTAGATCTGTCTATCTAACGATCTATCTAGGGTTTAGGGTTTAGGGTTTAGGGTTTAGGGTTTAGGGTTTAGGGTTATCCACCTACAAACCTACCTACCTATCTATCTACCTATCTACTCTATCTATGTATCTACCTATCTATCTATACGGTCTATCTCTACAGTTCTTCTAGTGTTTAGCATGACCCCAAGTCGGGCCTCTAGCCCCAAGTAGGGTTTAGGGGGTTTAGGGGGTTTAGGGGGTTTAGGGGGTTTAGGGGGTTTAGGGGGTTTAGGGGGTTAGGGTTTAGGGTTTAGAGTATAATCT